GAAAATACGCGAGTTATTTCAGAGGTCCATTTCTTTAGATTCAAAGTACACTTGGCAATTTTCTGGAGAAAAAGTATGCGGTTTCCGCGACACTTTGTGCATCATATACATACATGTACATAGCGCACCTTGATTATCGCATGTTGGCACAAGTATCACGGTAAGAAAAGTTAAGTCTACGCAGTCCAACATCTACAAACTGTCTAGGACAAACTCGGGATCTATCTGAAAAAGCCTTGGTCCAAGACTCTACGAGAATGAAAGGAGCAGCGAACGCACGATGCAAATTTTGCAGCGGAAGTCGCAATTGTTTATCTTAGACGCGGGCTCCACGTGACGCGGGGAAGCCAGAGACCTGACACGAGATCAGGCTCCGTGTCACCGTCACGTCAGACTCGAGGGCTTATGGTGGACCGATTACGAGTGACGGGGACTCCTACCTGAAAGACGTACAGGTACTGGAACATGCCTACCGCGGTGTAAACGCCACAAGACGCGGGATCGGATTATTCTTTCCATATTAGGAGCGAGGTTATTTCACGTAGCCCAGGCAACCGGTAAACAGAATTCTGCCGCGGCAGTCGATGATCGACCGCGAGTTTACGCGGACGCGTTTAAGACCCGCGCGGAGTTCGACTCGCAAATTGGCACGCGCGCTGCCACTCGCGGATCAACGTCTGGATAATCGCGAGACTTTCGCGCGAGTTCGCCTTATCTAACTAGCAGCACGCGTGCTATTCCGCTGATCTGGCAGTTAAGTAATTTCCGAATTCCTGTAATCGAAAACCTGTCTGTGTAAATTGAAATTAGAAATTAAGGGGAAACCTAAGAATTCAATTTCTGTTATCTCGTATCGTTAATTTTGTAATACTTTTCCACAGGTGCGCTGATTACAGCTTTCAGGAAGTCTTCCAGGTTCGTCAGGAAGTCTTCCAGGTTCGAAATGAACGGAAGGCGGAAGAGCAATTTTGCGCCTTCCGCAATTTCATTGACAATTCTACGAATATATGTTTGACAATGGTATAAAACGCACTATGCTCTTCGAGAACAGTCAACCGAGCTATACATACCCTTGCTCTCGAGGACGCCAACATGTGGTTGTTCATCACCTGCGGCAGCGCACATACCTCGTTTCGTGGTCCCATCCTTTGGTTCAAGTCGCGATTCAAGGCGAGAATCGCGTCGATTTCCACCTGAAAAAAATATATAAGTAGTTTTTTGGATTGTGTCCCTTTTAATTACTTAACGCGCAATCGATATTAATTTCAAAGCAAAACCGGCATGGAAATTGATCGTTTCATTTCCCTTGGGTGTAATAAAGTTAATGGATAAAAAAATATGTAATGTGCTGTGTAAAATTAGTCGAATAAGAGTAATACGTTAAAAATTTCACAGTTTGCAATTTATTTTAATTTTCACGCAAATTACCTTTCGGCGTGGAATAAAACTTTGCTGGGACATCTATGTACTAATCCGAATCTTGCACAATTAATTCCGCGATTAAGGCATGAAATTATAGAAGAATAGGATTTCCGAAAAAGTTTTCACATGGGCTGCCTTTTGAACTCAACATTTAGCATGTTACTATAAAACGTTAAACAAAATTGCCACCGGAATTCGCGACTGACCGCAAAAAGAAATATAAGAATGTCACTTGATACTTTATTTACGATTCACGCTCTCACGCGCCTGATCCTTGTATCGCGCGACTTTTTGCAAAAGTCACGTTCGACCGAGCCGGCTTGACTGACGGCAAATCTGCGGGCCTGCAAGCCTGTTGGAAATAGATTCGCGCCCCCGTTAGCGGGCCGCACGTTAGCCCCGTGGCATTGCATAAGCATTGCGGAATTGAAAATAGCCAAATAACCGTGACCTACGGATATGCGGAATTGTAATATTGCAGTTTAGCGCGGTGAGATCGCGAGGGAGAAAGTTAATTGTAGCGCAATATCTTCTATAAACGTTCGATAAAAACATACTTGGACACGTATGCTCTCGAAGTAGACAACTATATTCCGGGATTTTTAATCAATTCCGCGAGAAAGTCGCAACTGAGAAAAAAACAACACTTCCGAATCACCGCAACAGAGTAGTGCTCAATGCTACACGCGTTCTCTGTTTAACGTATAAAATTGTTAAATGTAAGAATTGCCAAAAATTACAAAGTGCTGCACAAAGAACATCACTTTTTACCTTCTCGCGATGTAAATATTTAATTATTATAATTCCACGCCTAATTTCAAAAAGCAGCTTCATCTAATCCAAACTTGTTACTCTCTGTCTTTGAGTAATTATAAATTGCTCGGAATAATTTCTGCCTCTCAGAATAAGTGAACGCACTTACCTCCTTGCCTTTGGTTTCTCCTCTCTCGAACCATTCTACAGTTACGGTGCGCTGTTCTAAATTGATACCGGAGACGACTGCCGAGTGAACACGACCTGAAACAAAAATCGTACATTGCAATAAGGGCTGCAGTAATACGTTATAATGATTATTCGTTGTCTTACTTAACAAAGCGCATCTTTTCTTCTCTAGAAGACTTGTATTTCATGGATCGAATATAAATACCATAATAATAAATGAGATTTCAATTAATGCAGTAATAATAGTAGAAGATGAGAAAGTGTGACACAGGACACTACTTCATAAAAATTAATATCTCTTAGCAGTAATTTAATCGAAAGCCAATTTGAAGAATTGAGAGGCGATATTGCATTTCTAATTTTTCTTTTTCGAACGTCCTTTGTGCACGTAATTCTTTATGCGCAACGATGTACCGTTTTGCACGATCTCTGATTTATCGCTGTCACCCTTGATCGAATTCACCCCCTGTCGTGAGGATGCAAGTCTAGGTATCATGGACCCCTCGCCCCTCGCCCTCGTCGTCTTTCCGCTTCGTTCTTCATCCTCGAACGGTCGAACCTCGAAGCTACACGAGTTCAATTTCCGTCGAACCTCGATACGCTCGTGAGCCGCCGCGGATCTTTTAACACCAAATTTCTTCGTCTCCCCGTGTACACGCGGCTCCTCACTGTCCACGCGAGACTCGGAGCGAGATGTTCCTTTGATCGGTGGAAGAATGGTCCTGGTCCCTTTTTTTCTCGGGGAGGCTGTCGCCTTCGACTTTCCTTGCTTCTCCTTGGAAAAATTAATTCTGGACGAGGTTCTTTCACCGCGCTTTTTATCAAAGCTCGATTCCAGAACCGTATCCTGTTCGTCCCCGATTTCCGACGTCCAAGACGAATCCTCGGGTTCCTCGGATCTCGGGACGGATTCGTCTAGATCCACCTCTTCGTCGTGTTCTCTCTCATCCGAGATACACTTGACTTGCTTCTCGTTTTCGTCCGTTGTTCTCGATTCACATCTCAAATGCAGCGTCGCATTGTCGTCACAATCGATGTCACATGGTACTCGAGCAGATCCGTCCGCGTTTCTTTCCGAGCTGTTGAGAAACTTCTCAAAGCCCTCACAATCGCCGTCGATTTGACAAGACGGTGAACCGTTGACTTTCGACGGATCAGTTTGATCAGTCGAGCCGATCCGATTTTCCGCGCAATCATTCAAGTAATTAACAATTTCTCCACTCGCCCATTCCTTTTCCGCGATTTCTTTCGCCTGTTCGTCTTGCGACTTGCGCAAGAACTCTTCGACGATGAACGGCGGCGAATTGCCGGAGCCTTTCTGCTTCGAATTCTTTTTAGATCTCTTGCTCTTTTTGCGCTTTCCATCCTTCTTGGTCTTCCTATCGTTGGAATTGCGCTTTGTGCCACAGACGCAAAGAGTTAACCAATCCATATTGAATTTAATCAATGACAAAAATGCGATTAAAAAAAGAGATACAAAGTATCTTATTTTCCGCAGCAATTTTCTTCACGTTCAATGACTGCCAAACATGTTCACATATTTTGTCCTTCGTAACAGTTTTTTATAAGCAAATTATTCTTAACGTGTGCATCTTATAATTTATCTATAATAAATTTACCATAAATTTGTGTTAAGAAGTTGTAATGTCTGTTATCTCATCGTCAATAATAATTCCATAAATTTCGATGAGTTTATGAAATTGATGAACTCCCACATAAATTCTTATGCTTTTCCCACGATACATTAACTCCGATACAATTCTCGCGCTTTTCTCACGAATTCTCGCAGATTATTATACTGTTACAGTCATCTGGTAATGTCCCAGGGTAACCAGCTCTCGCTCCATTTGCGCCGTTGAAGTCAATGAAAAGATTGGCACGACGTTCGCACTACTTTGTCATCGATGACAATTCGCTCGAACTTGGATATATTCTCGCTATCATTGTACCTTGCGCGAAGGGTATCACTGAAAGTATCGCTGAATCGAAGGCAACGGAGGACTGGGGACGACTCGCGCGATCGATTCGTCGGGAACCTCTTCAGGAACGTGCAGGTTTAATCCCGAACAATGCCCGCCACCACGACGCCGCGGCTAGAATTCACGAAATTCTTCGTGGCACTTTGTTCCGACCTTTAAAAAGCGGAAAGAGGCTTTTAGGCTTCGAAGATGTCGCCTTTTTCTTCACCGTCTTCGAGCGCACGACGCGATCGCGGATTATCCTTCGGGAGCATATTCGCCCTAGCTCTTCAGATCCCAGAATAAACGTATTTGCATGAAAAATTCTCGGTATGTCTAATTTATGGGCTTACAAATAATACGAATAATGTAAATGCGAGTATAAACGATTGTTAAAAGCTCGGCTATCCAGCCTCTAAAATATTCATTTAGAATGTCTGTTCCCTTTCAATTTTATTTTCGTCTTCTTACAATTAAAATAAATTTTAATATTTGGAACTGTAAGTATTGTAACTAATGCCAATAAAACTTATTATACTTCAAGGTGTAATATTTAGAAAAGAAAATGTTCATTTTCCGTTATATGCGAATCTTATCAGATTTTTCGCTTAAACTCCTCTTAGCGCAACGTGCTTCTAACTCCAGTCTCCTAATCTCGCGAAGGCTAGAGTTCATTTTTCGTCGCACGTGTAACTCGCAGACTCGGGCACGGTCGTTTACGAAGCGTGTAACGCGGCGAAGTGGTTAATAGAGCAAAAACTAGGGCGGGATAATTAACCGTCGCACCAAAAGTTCGCGCGTCCGCAAATTGGAGCGGCCATCGGGAAAATCGGCGGCGACGCATCCGCGACGTGTCAGCGTCGCGCGACGCGACTCTCGATCGACTGACAACGTTCACCGAGCAGCGCTTCATGAACGCATTTATTACGACTCCCAAGAGCGAGTAATTTCGCCCGGTGTGCGGGGCCCCCACCATATGAACATTTTCTCGGCCCGCCTCGATGAGTCCGGGCGTTATGCGCTATCGGTCACGATACCGATTCCGCCTGAATCCGCTCGGCGAGATGCACGCGAATTTACCCGGCCAGAAAATAACACCGCGGCGATACCGGCATTGTATACCGAATTAAAAGGCATCGAAAGTTTATGGCCGTAAAATTAAAAGAATATTGTCCATGTTGCATTGTGAAGCCAGAGAAAAGATCCACCGCGACTCGCACACGACTGGCTAAAAAATATTTAGTCATTACAAATTTATTCCGGTCAGAAAGGAACGCTGCAACGATGCCGGCATTTTATACCGAATTAAAAAGTATCGAAAGTTCATGGCCGCAAAATTAAAAGAATATTGTCCAATTGTCCCATTGTGAAGAGCCAGAGAAAAGACCCACCGCGACTCGTACACGACCGGCTAAAAAATATTTAGTCATTACAAATTTATCAGAAGATTATCGCGCGTTTGTTTCGGATAGCTATTGATTGAATTTCAGCTTTACGTGCGCGTGCTTAGTATCGTGAAGGTTAATGTCACGATCGACGGCGCGTAGATTTTCGCGGTACCGGCGGCACGAATGTCACTCGAGGAATCGATACAGAACTTGTCCCGAGCGAGCGTACACGGCGGGAAATAATTCAGGGGCCATTTTGGAATGAGAAATTGCCCAAAGCCGCGAGCGCAGTCGAGCAAACCGCGCGGTGGTCGAAGGTGAACTGACGCCGCGCGGCCGATTTGTATCGCCAATTGTGGCGCGGGCGATAATGAGAGGCATTTAACGGCACCTCGTCAACGATTAGACAGTACTGTGCGAATTTTCGCGGCTTGATTTTCCCAACTTGATAAGTAGGAAATGAAAGATTACGGAATACGTTCACACCGATCCCAGATATTCATCGGCGAATTTGAAATAGACTTTTTTTTTCTTCGGCGAGATTTTTCCAATTCTAATCAGGGGTGCACAGAAAACAGATATCCCGCCAGGAAATATCCGGGCCTTTCATAAAAAAAAATTAATACAAATTTGCAAGGGTCAATTTTTCGTCAGCGCTTTTCGCTGTTGATTTATTTCCGCAGAACTTGATCCGATTTCGACAAATTTGTAAATTACCGAATAGTGTTACTTCACAAGGGCGTCAGGATGCAGAAAATGTTAACAGATTCCTAGCTTCAGTGAAGAAACATATAGTATCTCGCGCCGCTTGATCGATCGCCGGCGATCTCTCGATGCGGATGTGACACTAGGTTTATCTAACGCTCGCGATTGCGACTCGTAGCTCCCGGTGCGTGACCACGCGGTACCAGCCCATATTTATTTACAGTGTACTCGGAAGTCGAGCCTTTCCTACACACGCGGACGGCTGTTGCATCGCGGAAACGCACCATGCCCCTTCGACAGGTACGATCGCCATAAATATTTCCTCCTCGCCGCGCCATAGAAAAAAAACCACCTTCAATTTCTACAGCGATAAATTTAAAACGATCTTTCCACGCTGGCTATGCAAACTAATTGCAGTCTCTAATTTTATATAAATTATTTAAGCACTTTTTATCACAAACATACACGTTTGACGAACGAAATTTGTGATTCTTTTGAAGAAGCTTTAACAGTCGTATTGAAATACTAGATTCGACGACCCTGACCGATGTTAATCACTACCTGTTTTTCTAGCGCAACAAGCTATGATTTCCATGCATAATGCGATCAAGATCAAAGTCGAGAAATAATAGCGGAGAGGACGATGCGATCGGCACGCGTCTCGTACCGATTTCTATTCAAATGCATTTCGGTCGCATCCCGATTAAACGAAGCATTAAAATGCTCGGTTCGGGGGTCCAGCCGCACGGTCTATTGAACATTAAATTTAAGCAGCGGCTTCCTGCGTCGCAGATCCGTCATGTGTAAAGCGTGGGCGGAGGATGCTATGTTGTATTCGTCGATACACAAAGCAGAGATTCTAGAGAGAAATCATATGTATGCGCACGCGCGTATGTGTGTAAATATGCACGCATCAATGCTGCCGATCGCTAATCAACTTGTTCGCGAGATCACCAAGTGAAATGAAAATGGAAAGCGACAAGATATCTCGTAAACCAGCGGCGCGATGATTAGAAACTTAACTAAGGAACCCGACGCTCGCTTTATCGAAAGTAATTTTCAAGTTATGTCTAAGAGATTATGAATTTCTATTAATGCAGATTAATCTCGGTTTAACTTACTTCTCATCTTTTCCTAAAAATTAAAACTCTCTGTAGGCTCGAATTCTTAGAACTAGAAAAAGACGAAGAGTAAGTTAAACCGAGATTAAAGTTAATCGGCATTCGCAGAAATGGATACAAGAAGTTCTCGTCGATTGCAATCTAAAAAATTGATATGAAACATAAATGGCGAAGCTCTAAACGTCTTAGAGAAATAATTAAATAATTAACAGTAATTTATTTCATATGAATAAAAATTCTACGTTTTCGAAATAAAGATTAATTCTCGCATCTTCGGCATCATTCGTGCTGCGAATGCCTCTTCGTTGCATGAATTACAAAATTACACTGAAATCGATACATGCCCTATGTATTTCGCGCACGTAAAGTATTAATGGCTTCCGTGCCCCGAAGCATCGGGCTGCATTTCTAATCGTCATCCCGTCGCGGATTTTTGAGCTCATGCACACAAGAAACAACTGGGGATCGACTGCAGTCCAGACGGAGTACAGAAAACAGTGTAGAAAATTGAGTCATTAACTCATGATGTGTAATAAGAGCGAACAAGTGGGCGAGCATGTGAAAAAACGTATGAGTGAAAAGCAAAAGGAGAGAACGAACATTATACGAAAGCAGCAAGCAAGTTCTGTAAGAACGGAAATGTTTTAGGCTAGGATAGCTCGGGTTCGTAAATTGGTGTAATCGATATTTTAGGGGAGTCGGTGATAATTTGTGACGTTTTGTAATGTTTCGAATCTGTCAAGTTTTGTGTCAATTACGCGGAAATTTACTTGTTTTTTTTTCGAGCGAGATTTTCCGTGACAATTGCATGAATGTTATAAATGCGTAAATAATATTGAATGAAATTCAACTTAAAGCTAAAGTCGACGTGAAATTTATGTGTATTTAAACCCAGAATCACTTTTTTCGTCAATCACGTAATCTATCGATTATCTTGTGATCTCATGTCGAGCAAAGCTGTCAGGCTCTCAGATCTGCTGCTACGCAACATCGCCATTTTCTCGTACAACCAGTCACAATACACGGTTATCTGAACACGACGCATCTGGAGTGCACCCGGAATCAGATGTAAATTTCGTGCCGTGGCATTCGCGACGCCGAAGGTACCAATGTAGTCGCGTGGGTGGAAGGAAAGCGAACGACGTAGTCGTTCTTTAGTTCTCGACGACGACACGAAAGACCGCCACTTTGCAGGAGAACCCGAGCCCGTTACCGACCAGCCGCGGCCCGGGCTCGAATACGGGGTTCTACAGGCTAGGTTGCTAACGGCACCAGCACTGGAACAGCTGGGCGACTCTGCTCGACAAGGTTGGGCTAGGTAACGTGGCCCCGAACTGTTACGTATGTATATTACACCGTACGCACGCCTGCGTAGCACACGGTCGCTCTAAAGTCGCCAATAAAGAGGAGAGAGACAAATTGTGTCTTCCACGGATCAGGTAGATAGACCGTTCCGTAACTTTAGGCTTACAACAGCTATTTGAAACCATGCAGTTATCAGCAGGTACATCAACGAGTCTTAATCTCCGTCAACTGTCAATACCAGATTCTTTTTTTTTGCGTAAATCAAATTGCAAAGGTTAAGGAAATAGAATTTGCAGCGACTCTAAATTAACGGCATAAAAAATTGATTTTCCTTCAGAGTTTCTTTTAACCATTTCTTTTAGATCGATATATAAACGTTGGACTTCGTTCTTCGCTAATTGATAAAGATTTTACGATAACGAAATGTCTAGTTAATGCGACCTGCATTTAACACCAATTATATTTGATTATAGCTTGTTGCGCTTTTATACATATCGATAAATACCGACGCCTTTGCGCGCTCTATATGTGACAGCCATAAAAGCCTACAGAGATTATATCATCCTCCTTCGCGTGCAGGTATTAAAAATGTCCGCGTGCAACATTTACAGGTGACGACGACATGAAAGAGAGAGAGAGAGAGAGAGGGAG